CTTGCCCTAGCTGGAGTGTTTGTTTTTCGTTTTTTTCTGCCTGTCTGTTTTTTTAATGTTTGTATTATGAGCCTACATAGTTTGTTTGCAAAATTTTCAACGACATTGCTTGCAGTGATGCGGCGAAAAACACCGAATTTTGGGTCTTCCATTAACCATCTCTCGATATTGATTGATTGGATGTGTAGATTGATTGGTTGGATGAGGACGTTGCTTGGCTTGCTTTTTTCTTTGCGTGTGTCAATAACATTTGTGATCTTGGGTGGAAGGATCCATAAAGGAACTTGGTCCTCTATTGATTGATTCGAAACAGGGATGCCATTGGCTGATTAAGTGGGAAAGTAAATGGGTTGATATCTGTCACGTAACAGACAGCAATGATCTTCTTTACTTCTTTATCCTACCCAGTATTTCATCCACAGCATTGTCTTGTGCCTGCTTACATCACATGGAGTTGGTGGCTGCAGTCTTTCCATGTGTCCTCCCACTTCTCTCTCTCTCTCTCTCTCTCTCTCTCTCTCTCTCTCTCTCTCTCTCTCTCTCTCTCTCTCTCTCTCTCTCTCTCTCTCGCTCTGTGTGTGTCAGATCCAGATCTCTCTCTCTACGCTATGAAACTATGCTGTTGTTATCTTTCGTATGGGGCTACGCTCCCAACTCCATGGAGTGAACAACTGCTTGACTTTTTCCCCTCCATCGTGTGGTCTCTGATCTCGCTTTTTTGGCGCAGTCGCTGTGCAATGCCTGTGGGATACGATACAAGAAGGCGGGCAAGCTGAGGGCTCTAGAGGGTAAGGGGATGGACAGCAATGAGCCGATTATCATTCCTCCTGGTGGGAGAGCCAATCGTACCAATAAGAAACCGGTGGGGGGCAAGAAGTGCAAGCCCTCGGACAATCAAGAAGTGACTCCAGCTTCTGCCACACTAGCAACACCGGGACCTGTACACGGTTCTGAGGAGACCGCAGCTGTGGCAGTCGCCATCGGAAAGCCGCAGGATGGGCCTGTGGTCGCCGGGATGCGGAAGCGAACATCGGCAGCATCCGTCGAGTGCCCTCAGCAGAGTCAAGCAATGAGGAAGGGAAATTCACAGAATGCCTCGGCTCTAGAAGGTGTGGCCAAGCCGAGAGGAATACTGTGGGCGGGGTCTACACAAATCAAGAAGGGTTTGTTCCTTGCCGACCCACCGGGATGCGACGGCAGCAGGGGGGGAGGAGGAGGAGGACTGCCAGGAGGAGGAGGAGGAGCAGGAGGAGAAAGAGGAGCAGGAGGGGCAGGAGGACGAGGAGCAGAAGGAGGTCAGTCGGCAGCAACAGGTGATCAAAGAAGAGATGTAAGGGAGGATGTACCACCTGCAGAAAACGTCTCGCCGTCAAAAAACGGTTTGGCGAAACCCAATTGTATGCCAAAAAACGATTGCCCTTCAAGAAACGATTTCCTGTCGAAGAAGGATTTGCAGCCGAAAACCGATTGCCCATCAAAAAACGATTCATCCTTGAAAAGTGGCTTGCTCTCGAGGAACGGGTTGTCGTGGACTGAGAGAGACGAGGAGGACGAAAGAGTGGATGATGACGAGGGCCGCATTGATCGAACGGGGAGCAGTGCAGACAGCTGTGTAACTCTGCAAGGATCCCCATCAACTGCCAGCTGGCCATTGAAAACCAAGTGGAAGAAGTTCGCTAGGAGCGAGGCTATGGCTGCGGAGGCTCTGTTTCCGCGTGTCTCAAGTCCGCCTGTGCCGACGCCCGCTGATCTCCGCTCTCGATGTATGGAACCGCCTGGGAACTGGGGAGGGAAAAAGCGAGCGAGGGTTGTGGACAGAGTGGGGGAGTCTGCCCCTGGCATTGCGCCGCAACATGCCCTTGGGAGCGATTGCGAGGATCAGAAGGCGAAGCCGCGGATGGAGTTCGACTTCTTGCAAGAGACAGATTCCGAAGGCCATGGTATGACTGACGAAGTACAGGGTGCTATTCTTCTGATGGCCCTGTTCAAGGGATGCCCTTGCCCGGCTTGACGGCAGGATTTCTGTGACGGAAAGAGCCGTCTCAAGCAGGTCCTCGAAGGAGAAGGAGAAGGAGAAGGAGAAGGAGAGGGAGAGGGACACGTGGTGCAACAGTGCAAGTGCCAAGGAATAGAGACCGACCCCGGAGTGGTTGGGTGCAAGGAGAAGGAGAAGAGTAGAAGGAGAAGGAGAGGGACACGTGCAAGCGCAAAGGAATAGAGACTGACTCCAGAGTGGTTGGGTGGTCACTGGATTGGATTCGTTGATCGACTGTGATGGAAGATGGGCGGGATAGCCATCATCATGGTACACAGGGTCCTGTTGTTGAAGTATACACACACCACGAGCCCTTGTGACACTTTGAGAGCGAACAGGGCCATTAACAAATGACGTCGAATGTCGTTGGTTTGCCGGATGGGCGTGGAAAGAATGCGAAAGCTGTGAGTATACTAGCATGCAGAAGTCGTGATCAGATTCATTTAGTAATTTTTGTGTGTGTGT